CCCAGGCAAAAATAATTCAATCACGTGCGATAGAACACATTAAACGACCCTTACAAGACATACTTTTTTATTTCTGCGTCCCCGAGATAGTTGTCATTGACAACGAAAAATCGCTAAACTCTGCATCCATTACTTCTATGTTAGAAGACGAGTTATTCATAAAAATTTATAAAACGCCGTCCTATAAAAGCGAGGTCAACGGTCAAGTCGAGCGATTTCATTCGACCTTGTCAGAAATTATGAGATGCCTTAAGGCAGAAGGACCGAGACGAACATTCGAGGAATTGCTCGAAAGAGCAGTGAACGAATACAATTATACCATACATTCGACAACCCAAAAGAAACCTATTGAACTTTTCCTTGGACGTACCCCATGCCTTAATCCACAACAGTACGAAGAAGTCCGACGCAACACCATTAACAAGCTTAGAGACAAACAATCTAAAGACCTAAAATACCATAATACAAATAAGAAACAGCCTAGGCACTATCGGCCTGGTGAAATTATCTATGTAAAACATAATAAAAGAATAGGTTCGAAACTTAGCGCTAGATACGTTAAAGAAACCGTTCAGGAGAATCATAACACTACAGTAACTACTGTATCCGGGAAAACTATCCATAAAACAAATATTCGGAACTAGTAACTTAATTAACGATATCCATTTCAGGTACACCTTTCAATCTGTCTTCTCAGATATTCAGCTCCTAGACTTCACTAACTCGTTATTAGTACCTATCATCACGGGAAAGGCTAAGATACAGACAGGCACGTACAAAATAATACATCTCATAGAACTGGACAGTTACGAAAAAATACTAACCGAAATAGAGTACGTTTACAATACAGACACTGACAGACAGCACTACTTACACCCTTATATTTCCTACGAAATTGACCAAATAAAAAATTTAATCGACAACCTTAAACCACGACAGAACAAAAGATCTTTAGACTTCCTGGGCAGCGCTTGGAAATGGATCGCTGGAAGCCCAGATCACGAGGACCTAATAACAATAAAGGAAACAATGAACAATATGCTTGAAAATAATAACAAACAAGTCGTTATAAATAACATTATGACCCAAAGACTAAATAACCTTACTCAGATAAATAATGACATTAGGAAAATATTAAACTCGGAATCAAATATTGGTAATGAAATTATTCTTAGTATAAAATATAAACTTAAAATTTTAAAAGAAGATTTACGTAACATTAATAATGCCATTCATTGGGCAAAACTCGGATTAATAAATTCTTTAATATTATCTCGAAATGAAATAGCAAATATAATTAAAACTTTAAATAAAGAAAACCTGCCCTTTTCAACCGTGGAAGAAGCATTGAACTTCTCCGAAATAAAAATTATAACCAATAGCTCAACTATCCTTTACATTATTAATGTTCCTGTAACGAATCAGGAAAACTATGATAAAATTTTGTTAAAACCAATAAAAAGGAACAATAAAAGTATTGTAATCCCATATAATTTTATAATCAAAAATGAAAATAATATTTATGCAATTAAAGAAAACTGTAAAAATGATATTAATAACTTTTCAATTTGTAAAGCAAAAAATTTAATAAATTTATCAAATAATACTTGTATACCAAAAATATTAAAAAGCCTATTAGCTGATTGCAACATTAGCAATAATCAACACATTAAAACAATAGATGAAATAGCATCGGGAATTATTTTGCTAAATAACTTTAAAGGGAACATTTCAATAAATTCTATTTCTCAAGAACTTAATGGTACTTTTCTGTTAAAATTTCATAACACTGAAATAATAATAGAAGGAAGATCATTCTCTGCCTTCGAAATTTCCAATTTCCATACTCTTCCTGCAGTTTTACAACCCTTACCAAAAGAGAAACAATTAACCAAAGTTTTATCTTTAGAGATGTTAGACGAAATCCATATTAACAATACAAAGTCGTTAAATATTTTAAAAATGGAATCCACTACCAATCGAATAACAATCATGGTCATTATCATAGCCGTAGGCACAATTGTTCTAATTTTATTAGCAAGGACCCTCTTTTCAAGAAACTCCAAAATTGTTATTCAAACAACTCCACCTAAACAAGAATTCGAATCTAAATCTGAAATTGTCGAGGATCATAAAAATGTTCTAGAAACTAAGAAATCAAAATCCACTAAATTTAACGACATTCCCTATTTCTGATGATTGGGGACAATCATATTTAAGCAGGGAGGAGTTAACACCAAAAATGCAAACATTCCATAACTCACGTTGCACTGCCACGTGACCACGCGTAACAAACAAAACATTCCAAAATATTTTCCCACAATAATGTTCACAAGAATGTTGCAATAGGCAAATATGCTTATTTAGCATATTTACGTTATAAATATTAGCACCTAAGATTTAAACATTGTTAATCGTCAGTTAATCGTCTGTTAATCATAAAGTAATAACAGTCAGCATAACATCTTATTATTCTGTTATATAGTGTAATTTAAATACAGAAAAAATAAAAATAAATTAATATTGAAATTAAATTTGTGTTTTTTTTATAAAATAACACAGTAATAATATTAATTTATATAAAAAAAAAATATCAGAAAAAATGCTATACGCGAGTGTTTTGTTGCAGATATAAGTATATAAAAAAAAAACATAAAAATAATGCAAAAGAAAAAAAAACAAATAAAAAATAAATGAAATAAGAACAAGAAAAATATCCTTCTCTCTGTATCCTTGATGCTTGAAACGAATAATGATGATAATCTCTAAAATAGAAAAACAGAAAAAAAATAGAAATAAAATAGAAAATATAATAAAAACAAAAAGATTTATATGACAAGCCATAAATTATCCAATTTTCATACCCTCGTTGAAATTTTTGTTCACCATTTCGTCCTTACATTATACATACGTGCATATTTATATACAGGCTACTATTCTACTCTTGCATTTAGAATTATTATTGTTATTATTGCTTTATTATTATTATTATTTCTATTCTTATTTTTTTTTATAGTTTATTCCTAATCCTTAAAGTTATTCGTCGGTCGGAATCCAATTTCGAATAAAATTTTCTTCTTTTCTTTAATTTTTATTATTTTGAAATTTTATTTCGATATTTTTATATTAATGTTTTTTTTTATATTTCTATTTTGTCTCCCTCTAGTTGGAAAATATTTCTTTTTTTTTAAAGTATAGGCGATGCTAAGCTAAATTACATGTTTCATGCAATGAAAATATAAAAAGCATTTTAACTATAATTGGAAGAGATCTACTTAGATTGGTTAAAAAAAAAAAATATAAGACAAATAGAAGACCAAGGAGCATAAGGCGAATAAGGAAAAAAAAAGTATTCTATTATGATTTCTTTTTCTTCTGCTTTTTCTTTAGGTTTGTTTCTGCCCGAAAAAAGAAAAAACTATACGAAATGTGGATAAAAATGACAATGAATTTTCGTTTCGTCTCCTTCGAAGCTCGAAAATTCTTAAATAGTATTGAAAGAACTGAAAATTGAATCTTTTGTAGATAAAAAAAAATTTTGAACGTACAAAAGATTGTTTGGAGTGGTATAAAAGTTAAAATATTAAAAATAATAAAAAAAAAAATTTAGAAGTTTGGACACTAGAAAAAAAGAACTTAATAGATTTTTATTAACCCTCTAAAATTTTCAATTATTTAATTGGTTAATTTGCTTCACTTATATAGTGTGGTTTTGTGAGTCACAAAAACTTTTCGCATCACAAATTTGTTCTCTGCCAAAATTTTGTAATTTAAATGTGAATATTTTTAACACAAGTGGCCACATTTCGTATATTCGTAGAAGAAGTCTATGGTATTAAATTCAACATTTATGTAGTTAGGAAAATTAGGATTTTAAACCATAACTCCAAATATTGTTTTAATATTTAAGAATATAATTTCACTTATAGTAAAAAATATTAAATAAAATATTAAAGAAAAGTGGTCAACAAAGGGGTTAAAGTAAATAGTTCTAAAAGTTCTTTATTGTTATAATTTTTATTTCCTTTTTCTTCTTGTTGAATGCTAATGAAGTCTCGACCGAGTATCCAATTTAATTTAGTTTTGAATTGAAAATGAGATTGTCAATTCTTCTGACGTTAGATTAAAAGTTTTTAAAATTTTCAAATTTTTTTCTTTATGAACTTTTCATTTTAGAAGTAAATTTTAAAATTACTTGTATACCCTATCAATAAATCCTTGATTTGTTTAAAAATAAATGAATTGAATATATTACTTGTTCACGTATATTAGAAAAGTAATAAGACAAGTAGAAAAAAACTCTACTTTTAAAGACTATGATGATCAACAATTCCAATAATTAATTAAAAAACAATTTATAAATTTTAATATCAAGGATTTGGCGATTATTTTTTTTTCATATATTTCTATTTTAGTCTGCGTTTACCGGAATAGTATGAATAACTACTCTTTTGACCATTCCTTTACTAAACTAATAGGGAATGTAAAACATTCAGAGTGCAAATTAAATGGAATGTAAACAGAAAAGAAAAAGACCTCGTCGAGAACTAGACGCTGCTACTATGAGAATCTTCCACAAAAGATCCAATATTCTATTCTGTGTCCTAAAATGTTATTATTGTTTATTATTAATTAACTTATTAATAATTATGCATTTTAAAACCGCAAGAACAAATTTTAAAACAGGTTTTATTTTTATAAAAATTAAAATAAAGTTTAAAATGTTGCAGTCTCTTAATTATTAAAAATATAAAATAGAATACAATAGAATCAACAATAATATAGATTGTATATAATGAGTATAACAATTAAAACTTACAAATACAAATTATCCTTTAAAATAATTAAATATCCTTATATAATAAAAATATTTAAAATGAAAACAAAATAAGATTAAAATTTTGCAAAAGAAAACAAATTTAATAATTTGGCACATATTTCCATACAACAACAAGAAATTCCTAAACATTTAACACCCATAATAATTCATGATTATTTTTTTAATCTTTTTTTTCAATCGGTTGTCCTTGATCATCAATTTCGACTGATGGTACTAAAGGAGGTTTAAAACCATACTCAACTCTTAAGTTCTTTTCAAAATCTGAACTACGTTTGTATAAACCTCGCGAACCAGGACCAGGAGCAACAACCCAAAAAGATTTTTCACTTTCTGCTGGCACGGGTCCAATATAATCATTTGCAATTACTTTTTGTAAAGAATGATGTAATATTGCCGGTGGTATTATTGGTTTATGACTCAAATTTTTCGGATAACGAATATTATTGATAATTGGATGCGATGAATGTGGATATTTCGGAGCAAACGCTAAAAATATTAAAAGTATATTTATATTTTTGAAGGGTTATAGTTTTTATCCAAAAAAAAAAACACTTACAATATGTTGGTCGTTTCGGTAATAGTGTCACTGAAATAGGCATTTGTTGCATCGATTGCGGTGGTCCCGGAGGTTGATTGAAAAAGTTCAATGCATTTTGGTGTGGGGGTGTGGGTTGAAGTAAGGTATACAGTTCTGTTGCTGGGTAATGATTACTTATAATAGGCAAATTAAAATCAGTGTGCAAAGCATTCGATTTGCCATAAAAGTTTCCTTTTGCAGGATGAAAATCGTGTGATTGATATGCTGATGCTGTTGGTACTGGATAAGGTACTGGAACTTGAACCGGAATTAATATAGCTCTATTAATAATTTTTTCTACGGTCACTGGACGGTCCACGATCTTTTCAACAACTTTTTCAACAGTTACTGGTCGATCAACAATTTTCTCAACAATTTTCTCAACTTCAACTGTGACTGGTTTTTCAACTATTTTCTCTACTTCAACCTTAACTGGTTTTTCAACAATTTTTTCGACTGGAACAAGTGTTTCAACTGGATAAGGACGATCGATTGGTACTTGTACTGGAACCGGAACAGCATATGGTACCGGGCGATCAACAATTTTCTCTACTGGTTTTTCTACAGTCTTTTTGATGACTACAGGATATGGAACTTTCACTTCTTTTTCTACTACTTTTTCAACTGGACGGTCAACAATTTTCTCTACGATTTTCTCAACAGGATATGGTTGTGGTATATACTGTGGTACTTTAACTGCATACGGAATCTGAACAATTTCTTGCACAGCCACCGGTTTTTCAACAACTTTTTCAACTGTTACGGGTACCGGATATGGTCGATCAACTGGATATGGTCGGTCCACATATTTTTCGACCACTTTTTCTACAGGTACTGGTACTTCTTTTTCTACTACTGTTTCAACTGGATACGGTCTACTAACATAAATTGGAACTTTTTCTGTAATTGTAATTGGTTTTTCGACAATTTTTTCGGCAGGATATGGTTTTGGAATTTCTACTGGATATGGTGCTGGTGTTGATACATAAACTGGAACATCTTTCACAACTGGAGTGTATTCATTTGTATGTACTTCAACAGCATAAGGAGCTGGTATAGCTTTACTTGGTTGTGAATTGAGTAATTTTTTTTCGGCTGAAACATATCCTTTGACTGGTGCATCAACCCGGTATAGATCTAATGGATTTTTATTTGCATAAGACAAAAGAGCCTCTTTTCCAGTTGGAATATATTCTTTACTCCGTACTTCAACTTTTTTTCCTACGGGGAAGTTTTCTTCGTTTCGTACCTTAACAGGATAAGGAACCGGTAGAACTTTACTTGGGTGTGACACCGTGACTGGTTCATATAATTGTTCGTCAACTACAATAGGCTGACGTGTGGAAAAGGTTTGAGTAATATGTTGTGGCTGTGTATCGATATTAACAATTTTTTCACCATATTTATAAGGTTTGCGATACTCTTCATGTTGTTCAATAAATTTGCCGTTATGTTCCTGAATAAGCATATTGTGAACATTTACAGATTTTTGAATTTCTACAAAAGTTTTTCCTCGTGTATTTTTTTTAAAAGTTGGTGCTGTACTTGTTAGTAATGTTGTAAAGTTATCGCTAACTTCAGTGGTGCTATAAAAAAGTGGCGTTAAATTTTTGTATTGTCGATTAGATGTAACAACTAAATTCTCTTTTTGCGTTGTTCCTTCAATTTCAGTAATTTTTGTAAGTTCGACTCGATTTTCATTGTATTTTGGTTTAAAATTTTTCAAAAATCTTCTAGAAGGTGCTTCTTGTATTATTCCAGAGTATTCTTTTGAAAAATTACGTTCTTCATTTTCATGTGATTCATCCAATGATTTAGCTGGAACAAATAATTTTTTTGATGGTCTTATCTTTTCTTTTATAATTTCAACATTAATTTGTTTCATACTTTGTGATCTGGGAATGTTAATGAATTTTTCACGTGATGGAATTATTTGTACAACATTTAGTGGATTAATATATGTATTACTATGAACAGCATTTGAATCAGCTATAACATTATCTTCTGGCCTTTCATTACTTATATTAAACGATGCGCTATTAAAATTATCATTAACAACAATAGGTGAATTAAAAGTGTCATTAGAAAAATTTGAATTATTTTCTGAATTTTTTAAAAGAATTTCATCAAATGATTTAAAATTATCTAAAATTGTGTTAACAGTTGGTAAAAATTTAATAGTTGTATTCGATTTTTGAGATTCAGAAGCAGAAATATACTCTTCAGCTGCATCATTAATATTAAGGACATCCTGATCTGATATATAACCAGTAAAATCTGAAACAATATCTTTATTTGAATTAATGGATTTGTTGTGGTATTCTTTTTGTTTATCATTAGTAAAATCATTTGTTATAGTACTCTGTGTTATGGATGCTGTTGAATTATCATTAACTATATTAATACGTGTTGGTAGTGCTTGCAAATCATCTTTATTATTAGAATAAGTTTCTGGTGATTTAGTTCCTTCTAAATATTCTGTAATCCAATTATCTAGACCACTTACACTTTGATACTTATTAAAATCCTCCATTTGATAATTATTATTATTATTATATGTTGAATTTTCTCGATAATCCGATTCAATTTCAGGTACCGGATGTACATTAAAATAATGAAAAACTTCATTCATGTGTGGTACAGCTTTTGATGTTTTAAATATATCAGAATGACTTCTTGAAGCATTAGATAAGTATTCAGTAATTTGATTTTTAAATATATCACCAAATGGTTTATTAAAGAAAAACATACTATCATCATTTTCATCTCTTTTATTTCGTTCGTCCTCTTGTGAAAATGATGGATTATTATTTGTCTCTTCAATTTTAATCGGATTGTTATCAGATATTGTCCTATTACTAAAAGATTCATTAATTTCATCATTATCATTGTATGATATACCTTTGCAATTTTCAACATTTCTATTGAAATTTTCATTAGATTTCTGATTTACAAATTTTGTTATATTATCCTTGCTACTTGTTATTGAACATTTAATACTAAATGCTATACTATTATCAGATTTAATATTACTTTTGTCATTGGTAGTGTTGACAATATTGAAAGGAGTTGTTTCAATAACTTTCATATCATTTTCATTCAATGATTTCACTGCATTTTCTCCAATAGCAAAATGGCTTATCAGTTCACTTTGATTATTCTTCATTTCCAATCTGTATGCAAGGTGTGAATGTAAACATGTAATAAGTAAATAAAGAAAATTAAAATAAATTATTAATCAAATTATGTTATTTATAATATATATTATATAATATACGTAAGTATTAATCATATAAGTATATAATAGGAAATTCAGACATAGCTATTATATGTGTATAAAGACATCGAATGTGTGTATAATTCGAGTTCTATTGAATAAAATATTACAATTAGATTTCCAAACATAAAACTGCAATGTTCTGCAATAGAACCTTAATTACGATATGCTTATAATAATGAAAATATTTTGCACCTAGACTTCATGTTGTAAAAATTAAAATAGCTTGAATAACATTTAAGTATTAACCAATTTTTCTTAATTATTAACCTATAAATCAGAGGTAACTTTCTGTCATAAGGTCACATATCATGTGATTAAAGGAAGAAAGCTTTGTTTGGCTGTAATAAAGAAAAGAAGAAGGCCTTTGACAGTAATTTAATAATGTCGGCCTTGACAAATTTTTTAGATTACATAGCGTTTGCTCGAATTACATTAATTTGAAAAGTTTTTCATTTTTGATTCGGATGCATGCATCAACTTCATACCAATAGCCCAAAATGTGCAAAAAAAATTTTTTTTCTCTTTTGGTATAAATGATATTAGGTACATGATATCTATAGATCGATATAAATTTTGTACAAAATAAATTTTCACGGGTTTTTCCAATATAGCATGAAATTTGTAAAAAACAATGAAGTTTTAAAGAAAATTCTAGAAATTGTAATACTTATTATCACTTATGAGTAGGTTTTAGAAGAAAATATAGTGCAAATTTTTAATTACAAGCTTCTAGATTTTCTTATTTTCTTTCTAGTTTTTACTATTTTCCTAAATTTTATTAGTGGGACCTGGACATTATTACTTTTCATACAATTTTATTCAACCAATGATCAAGTATAGTAAAAATTATTTTATATAACTCGTTAATTTATATTATATTTTTATTTTTCAAAAATTTTTTCTAGAAAATTTTTATATTATATTTTATATTATAATTTACCTGACTACTGGGTGAAATCCCAAATCATCAGCCGTATATTCTACTTTCGCTTTAGATTCACCATCTGGTAATTGAACAAAATAATTCCCCAATGTATTTGTTCCCAATTGATATTCAGAACGTTGGTCAACTGAATCATTTTGTCCAATTATAGAATAATTGTAGCGAAAGGTGAGAGGTTCCTAAAAATGCCAAAGAAAAATAAAAAAAAATAATATTTTTTAAGAAATTGTGAAAAAGAACTTAAAAACATTGGTAATTTTAATAGTAATACGGGATGTTTCATTGTTTTTTTGGTTACTTACACAAAATTTTAAAAGCACATTGTTAACTTTATGAAAGGTAAAATAAATGCAAGGCAAATCAAGGTTAAATTCCATTTTTGAACAATTTATCAGAAAAATTGTGTCTATTTGGTTTAAGTATTCACATTTAAATAACAAAAATTTCAAAGGTATATTCAGTTCTAAATATACCTACCGTGTTTTACTAAGTTTCTAGCCCTTAGTGTATTTGTTGCCAACAGGCGATGCAACCAATTTAGAATAAGTGGTTTCGAGTATATATAGAGCTATAACAATTATTATTTACTTACTAATTTTTAAAAAATTCTGAGTTTCTTATTAATATCAAGTGTTTATAACTTTGATACCTCTTTTTGCTTAACAACTCCATTACAAGTCTACTTTAGAAAACCTGTTATTAGCTTTTATTAATATATTCATTTTAACTTGTTCCGATTTTTGAAATTATAATATATTTTACTAGCAAATATTTTAACCAAATGTTTAAGAGCATTCTTTTAGAATTGTTCGAATTGAATCAAATTTTTCTGAATTTACAAATTTCAAAACAGAAAATTCATGTTTTTACAATTCAGAGACAGAATAGTTATCTAATATCTAATATGAAAAAAATTTATAAAAAATCAAGTTTTAATATTAAAACTTTCCACTTATGAAACATCCTGTAATCGTTTAACATTTACTTAAAGCATTGAGTGTATTTTAACTAAAATTTATTAAAATTGTCAATAAACATAAATTTAAATTTATTTTACCTTTAACAGAAAAATTGTGAATAAAATTTGAAAAGAGAAAATCATAGAATATGGAAGAGCAGAAAATGAAGTGAAAAAGGAAAAGAGAACGAGTGTAACTTACCTGTTTTGATTTTCCATTATTTTGATTTTCTTTCTCTTTTATTATCGTTTCGTTTGCTTTAAGAACCTTTTCTGTTATTGTTGTTTCTGGTAGTGTAACTAAATGCTGCTGATGGGCTACAGTAATTTGATGAACACCAAAAATTGCTATTAGTAATAACTTTGGTACCATTTCAATACTAGAGGGGCGAAAAAAAAAAAAATTAAAAAAATTTTTTATTTTTTTTGTTTTTCAACAAAAAGAAAAATGAAAAAAAAAATGAGAAGAAAAAAAATAAAATTGATGAAAATTTATGAAAATTCTTTACTCTCTCTTCTATTTGTAATGAGAATCAATTAGAATTTAATGAAAATAATTAGAGTGGAAAATGTTTCTTTGAACTCACAAAAAAAACATTTCTTTTCTCGTTTCTACTATTTTCCATATTAAAATTAGTGTAAAATAATGAAGATGACCATAAAATGAGAAACAAAGAAAAAAATAAAAATTAAAATATACTTGAGTGTAGCTAAGAAATAAAATTCAATAAAAATTGTAGTTTTCCATTCGTGATGACTAAAACATCAGTACACTAATTATAGAAAATGGTTAATGCTAAAGCGAAGATTTTTGTAAATTTGTACAACGGGGGCAACAATGCACCGCCACCACGTATAAGGATCTATTGTGCGCCTCCATCCGAGTGCGGGGCATGTCCTGCAACATACGCTCGAGACCCACCTTCCTGATGAACTCAAGCAACTTGTGAGGACCAGAGGACCGTAACTCCGCCACCGTTAGAGCAAAGTCTCCCAGCACCTCCCCCCTCCAACGAGCAAGAGCATCACACTCCCCCAGGAGGTGCACCGAAGTCTCTCCATACTCCCCACAGAATCTGCAAGCATCCTCATTTTCCAGGCCCAGCCGACTGAGGTGCTAAAGCGAAACTACACAATGCAATATTTTATATTTTACCCTTCAAATTGAAATCTAGAACAAAAGATTTACAAGCTATAAACAAACCAACGTTCCAAGTAAATCGAATGGAAATAATGACGAATAAAACGCTAAAAAAGCTCACTTTTGTAGGCATAAACTAGAAATAGGGCTCTGAAATTAAAATTAGAGCAAGTTTAGTTTATAATCAATGAAAAATTTTCCTTGATACGATTGAAATTATAAATAACATTCATCAGTTCCCTTATTATTTGGAGCTAATTACCAACTCTTATACAATTTGAATTTAAACATACTCAGTTCTAATTAAATCGAATCCCTCGCAACTTATTAATTTTTTCATTAAAAATATTTTTAATTTTTTTTTTTATTGAAATAACAAAAATTATATTAAATAAAATTTTGAATACTCTTATAGTATGTAGTTACAATAATTGTTATACTTTTAAAAGTTCTTTCAAGTATCGACACCTTTAAAAATTATTGACGTGTCCTATGATTTTGAAATTTTCTTTTTCTATTATTATTTTGTATTTTGGAAATTTACATAATTACGTAAATATTATTAATGAAAATATGAAAATTATAATTAAGTGTAAAAATAATTTTTTTGATAAATAAATGACCTCGGCTAAAGGACAACAAAATTTTTATTATTTTTTCATTTTTATTTCAAAAATTGTTAAATTTGTATTCAAGTGCGAATGTTTTTAATTTGAATATTATTGCATTTGTTATTAAGTTATTTTTTTTATCTGTTTAAATTTTAATGAAATTTTAATAAATTTTATAATGTTAAAGCGGAGTACATAAAGTGTAGTTTACCAATTTGCAATTTTTAACATAGAGAAAATATTCTAAATTAATTGTGTTAAGAATAATTAGAAAAATTTCATAAATTTTATTGATGAATTTTTCGCTTTTGTAATTAAAATTGAAAACTCAATTTCATTAATTTTTAAAAAAAAAGAAACTTAATTCTTTGTTTATAATAAAAATTATTTTTCTCTTTTAATTATAAAAGAAAAACTTTTGAAATCTCTTAATTTTTTTTTTTTTTTTGGATTTTTATTTTGATTTCGAAAGTCCAACCTTTTATGTTTTTGGTTTTCTCTTTATTTTTTACTAAAGCAACATAATGACTTTATAATTGCATATTATTAAATTGTAATCTCTAATGAAACGTATAAGTTAATAACATTACAATTAAGTAGAAGACTTTTGTAATTATTTAAATAGAAAATGTTCATTCATTTGGTTCTCCAAGGGTAATGAAAATTAGATTAAAAAATGCAATTTTTTTTTTTTTAATTTTTGTCACTTGAAAATTTTAATAATGAATTTTCTTTGGTCCGTTTCAGAAGTCTTTTAATTTAATTATATAAATACATGAATTTTATTGAACTTAATGAAAAAAAAAAATTTTTGAATATTTTGTTTTAATTGGATTTTAATGAAGTAATTAGAAAGAAAATATTTAATGTAGATTTAAAATTAACATGTTCTAATGTAAACTATTACAATTTATTGTTTTTTTTTTGTAAAATCTTGAATAAATTGCTTTTTTTTGCATTAATTTTATTTGATTTTAAAACAAAAATTTATGCTATTAGAATTTAGATCTCGTATTACTTAAATATTTAGAATACCCTCAAACGATATCTTTTAATTAAAAATATTATTAATTATTATAAGGACACTTGCTCTTTAACATGATTGTTATAACACTTAAAATTTAATATTGAGATATTATTTTTGAATTTTATTTTTCGTTTGATAATTATTATCCTTGTAAATTTTTAATTGAATATTATATAATTGAATTTTAAATAAAATTCTAATAATTATAAAATATAATCGAGCATATATATCATGCAACAATAACAAGAACAAAAGAAATCTGAAGTGGACTCCTTAGGTTAGATTTTTAATCAAATATTTATTTGGCATTTAAATGAAGTCATTTATTCTAATACGAACTCAATATTTACGAATTTTTTTTTTATTATTTTTAACATAAAATAACAAGGACAATGTAAAAAAATTTAGAAAATCAAAAACAAAAAAAAAATTGTTATTATTTTTTTTTTTGTTTAAATTAATCTGAAGGATTCACTAATATTCATTGCAGCATTATCTTGTTCAAAAAAGGATCACAGAATCAATCAGTATTTACACATCAGAATCAAAATATCCTTTTAGGTATATTTATTTTATTTCTTTACTATTTTGTTTTTTGGTAATTTTTGTAGACTTAAATTTGGAATTTCAAATAAAAAAAAAAATACAAGAAAAAACGAATTAAGAATAAAGTGAAAAAAAACAAAAAGAAAATACCAAAATGTCTTCAATTCCAGTGAAATTTCATGTAAAACACATGTACACAAATACAAGCACAAATATAGACAAGTTTAAGAAAAAAAAAAACACACACACAAAAAAACAAAATACAAGAATCTAAAAAATGAATTTTAGAAAATAACCTTAATAAAATTAACCAAAAAATGTTCGGTTTGTCTTGTCGTCTTTTTGATAGGATCAAAAATAATAAGGAAAAATTTCAGAAAAAGACGAAGAGATAAAATATTTATATTTGTACAAGCTTCAATTTTAAATCTATGAAAACGCTGTGAGTTAAGAGTTTCTTTTGAATTAAATTTTTGTCCTTTTTTTTTATATTTGTTTTTTTTTTTTTTTGTTATAATTTTTGTTGCGGAAAAATAAATGAATTTTTGTTTATTTTAATACAAACATATCTATGGCGGTGTATATAAGTATTGTGTACAAGTATCTACTGTTATAATAAGTACATATTATATAATTATTTATATGTAAAACACCCAAAAGCAATTCTGGAACTTAAATAAAGGGATTGTATCTTGGGACCTTGCACGAGTACATAACATGTATATATACATACATTATACATACATATATATACACAATAATATTTTAAATGAGAAAAACAGTCAAATAGTGAAAACGATTTGAAAGTAGAAACGAAAAAAAAAAATTATATACATTTTTTTTTGTTTTAAAAGAAATTATGGCTTTAGATAAATTTTAAATGCAGGGTCTCTTGGTAATATTAGAAAAACCATTCCACATTGATGATAATATTACAATTATTAGTCTAAGTTACATTTTTTGTGCACGAATTAAGTGACAAATGAAAAAAGATTTTGCCTAACAAAAGATTTTTATTAAAAATTTAGTGCTTTGGAACAAAAAGAAAAATTTTAATGATACTCCAATATGAAACTCAAATATTTTCTTTGATATTATGAAAATTTTTCAACAAAATCCGGTCCAAATTCGAACGATCCAATGATCAATCAAAAATGTTCAATGTACTGATTTTGCAATTCATATTTTTAAAATAAAAATGTTATTGTCCTTTAGCGTGATTGTGAAAATACTTATTATAACGACCTCACGGAGTTGGCGTAATAAAATCATTTTTAAGAAAAAGGACAAAATTTATAGTTAGTAATTTCAGTGAAATTTAGATTATTCTTTAAGAAATGTCAATCAAGTGTATATGCTGCTTATATATTGGTATCCGTATTACTTTAAATATGCTATAATCAATTACTTAGCCCCATTTAACATAATATTTTAATTAAAATAGTATTTGAATTTTTGAGAAGGAATTTCAATTTTCAATAAACTTTAATATAAAAATTTCAATTACATATTCAGGCAACTTTATATTATTATTCTAAATACCCTAGTATAAATAAGCATAAAAAACGGTTTACTAAACACCAGTTCCAATATTTTCACAATAAAATTATTTGAAGAATTGTTTAACATTACAATCACCTTATCTTTCGAAATATGTTTGTGTATATAACGATAAAATACAATATTATAATAATAACAATATTTATATCAAGTATAGGATGATTTTAACTTGTACTATATGATGCTTTCTCCTTTTCACACATTTCCTCTTTTTCTGTCTCTATAAATTTTTGTTTCTGCTGCTTGTTTTATATGCCTCTTTTGATTTTAATTCAAAGCTCAAAGCTAAATTCTTATAATAAATATTTGGTAAGAAATTTTTACGACCGTATAGTATCATTGACAAAAGTTGATTTCAAAAGTTAATATGCCTTTAAAACTGGAAAATCCTTTTTAGTAATCCTAGAAAATTTCTATATCATATTTTTCTTTTTGGAGTTTTTCTTAATTTTGTTTTTATACCATTTTATATTTGGAATGTATACAAT